TAAATTCCTTGGCAAATGATAATCACCGCATAAGAATATTAAAAAATACACATAATTATTAAGCTTAAAATTATCGGAATTAATTGCAAGCATGTCCATGTAGAAGGGGAAGGGGGGTTACATGTCTTGTAAGTTGTAAATAAATGTTTAAGCGATTTTTAAACCGCTACTTGGTATCAATGATAACATCCTTTAAAGGGAATATTGACGACTACCCTCGCTCATCTCGAAAATCTTAAGCAGAATTTAACTCTAATGAATCAATTTGACTTCTTTATCAAAATTTTCCCGAACTTTTTCGTAGACTTCTGACTTTTCCCTTAGTTCTATAACACTCGGAACTCGAGAGTTACACGCTAGGTGTCGTTTTTGCATCACTTCCGTAATTTCTACTCTGACATTTCCAAATCTTGTAGCATTTTTCACGTTTGACGATGAATACTCGGATTATTATGGGATGCCTGGGCAATTAAATAGCACGATTAAAGACAAAAATATCTACCGAATTAAGATATCATGACACATTTCGGTGACATGTATTAGGTAAATGATACTTCGGGCCTGATATCGAAGAGGGGTCCAGTGTAAACAAATGGAAGTGACTTACCTTCTCTATTTTATAATACCGTGGGTATGATTTTTTTAGTAAAACGTTAATTCTGCGTTATTTTTTGGATTTTTCTGATGGAATACATTGTAAATGTGTACTAGAAGAATAATTTATGAAAAAAATACATAAAAATATTTTTTGACCTGTGGGGCATATTGGAGGGGGGGGGGGGGGGGGGGGGGTTCCTGTCCACAAGTACCTGTGATTATAGGGTACATTATTGTTGACAGGATCTATGCCATGGATCAGAATTCCCTTGTATCTGCCACTGTGATCCCTGACATCATTCTGTGTCCAGGCTGTAGTGGGCGGGGCACCTGTAACTTTGATGATGTAATCCCACAGGAACAACCCTCCTTTTTCCTTGTAGAGTGTGTCTGTGAAACAGGATGGACAGGTGAGAAATCCTTTTAAATCCAAAAAAAGCCCATTGCATTAGTTGTTTTCAAAATCAATACTTTTAAGATAGAGAGTTTGCAGGAATTACTAGCTAGCTTCATGAAAATGTCAAGAACGTATTCTGTTGATAAATTAGATGCCTTGGTTTAATTCGATTAATCAGTCTCGATGAGTAAACAGTAAGGTAAAAATATGTAGATGTTTGCACTTGATCAGACTTGGTTTAACAGGTCCAACATGTAATATGGATGAGAATGGCTGCCTTGGTAATCCGTGTAACAAAAGCTCAGACTGCCAGGATCTGACCCCCTCTTTCCAGAGGTCCCGGGGACTGACCTATCAGTGTTCTGCCTGTCCTGTGGGCTACACCTTGTCCAGCTTTTTAAAGTGTATTGGTAAGTAGTAAGCATGTCTTCAATCTCCTTGGTTATCAAGGATATGTTATTCATTTACATTGTATATTAAAATTAACTTGTCAATGAATTGTATATACATACATGTGAAAATCATAACATACGTGTGTTGAAACAGAGAGACTGGTCATGTGTCATTTATAAATTATATTAATACTAGAAGAAAATAATTAAACTTTTTTTAAAAGAGATGTTTGCTTGTAGCTACATCAGCTACATGTTTATATTCAACAGGAATATGATTTTTTTTTCTTCAGATATTGATGAGTGTGGTTTACGCACCAATCCGTGCACTCAGAGGTGTGTGAACACAGATGGGTCTTTTGTTTGTGCTTGTGAGGCAGGTTTTAGACTACATGGTTACCAGTGTTTAGGTACATGTAATTTCCATTCATTTCATTTCTCTTTCATATATTGTGATTAAAAGAGTATACAAGCTAGCTTTCATCTTGCTTGTCATTAAAGATATCATTAAAGGAGAATGAATTTGGCCTTTAGAATTAAACATTTAAATCAGCTGCTGTATGTGTATACTGATGTAATTGAACATAATCTTTTATAAGTGCATATGGCCCGATTCTCCACAGGGAGAGATGTAACTAAGTCAAATTATCAACAATTCTGTATGGCCTGATTCTCCATGGGGAGAGACAGAATTTAGTCAAATCATCAAATCTATACAGTTTGATTCCCTTACGTGAAAAAAGAAATCATGAAAGAGAATTTCATCTTTTAATAAATGTGTATTCTTAATATTAAAAACAACACCTCATGTGACTTCAGATGTTGATGAATGCAGAGAGGGGACAAGTGGTTGTGAGCATCAGTGTGTAAACACCCAGGGGTCCTACTACTGTGTCTGTTCTACAGGGTATCAGCTACACACAGACAGACACACATGTCTTAAAGGTACCAGAGTTAATTCATGCAAATTGAGAAGAATCTATTAGTAACTGATGAACTTTCGTTGAGTAGATTTGTTAATTTTATCTTAGCTTTCAAATTTAAACTTGTTTTTGATACCTAGCCTCTGTAGAACCTCCTTGCGTTGCTCGAAAATGTCCCCAGGGATGTAGAATTAATAGCACAGGAGAACCAGAGTGCTTCTGTTACCTTGGTTACAGAATGAAGGCAGACTCATCTTGTGAAGGTATAGTTTCTTAAAATACTGATTTTCAGTATATTGGTTATATTGGCACATCTAATAGAATTGTATTTTTAAGAATCTGTGAAAGGTTTTTACATTCAGAAGTCATGATATACACACTGTAGACATACTTGAAATTTGAAAGAATTCAGGCACCCATAAATTGGTGCCAAAGGAAAAACAAGCAGAATTATACACCCACAAATTTAAGCCCCTTTACAATAAATATGATTCTTAATTGTACAAAGATATCATTAATTTCTGTATATTAGTTTCAGTCATATAAAGGACTCAACCTTTCATTTAAATGCTCATTCCAAATTGATGAAGCTAGATGAATCTACATGTAGATTTGATTTGCTGAATTCCATTTTCCTGGGTTTTAAGTGACATGATTTGATGTTTATTCTAGATATCAATGAGTGTTTAGATGCACCTTGCCCACACAGCTGCCAGAACACTAATGGAAGTGTGGAGTGTGGATGTTATGATGGATATCAGCTTCAGACAGACCACAGGTCATGTCAGGGTATGTGTGGTTTGTTTTATGTTACTATATTATACACTGTATATGCATACATTTTTATGCCCCGCCATGAATATGGCTGGGGCATATAGTGTTTGTCATGTCCATCTTCCGTCCTTCCGTCACATTTTGCGTTTAGCTATGTTCAAAGCTCAGTTTCAAAGAAACCATCCAAGATATTTTTATCAAACTTCATATGCTGATAGATATTGATATGGGCTATGCAACTGCATCAACATTTTTTGACCTTGACCTTTCCTTTCACCTTGACCTCACTTTTCTTAAATTAGTGTTTAGCTCTGTTTTAAAGATACCGTTCAAGATAGTGCAATCAAACTTCATATATTGATACATACTGATGTAAGCTATTCAACTGCATCAACATTTTTTGACCCTGACCTTTCCTTTGACCTTGACCTCACTTTTCTTAAATTAGTGTTTAATTCAGTTTTAAAGAAACCATTCAATATACCGTTGTCGAACTTCATATGGTGATACATACTGATGAGAGCTATTCAACTGCATCAACATTTTTTGACCTTGACCTTTCCTTTGACCTTGACCTCACTTTTTTAAATTAGTGTCAAACTTCATATGCTGATAAATACTAGTGTAAGCTATTCAACTGCATCAATATTTTTGGACCTTGACCTTTCCTTTGACCTTGACCTCACTTTTCTCAATTTGTGTTTAACTCAGTTTTAAAGAAACCATTCATAACATTTTTTATCAAACTTCATATGCTAATACACACTGATGTAACCTTTTCAACTGCATCAACATTTTTTGACCTTCACCTTTCCTTTGACCTTAACTTCATTTATTTTAAATTAGTGTTTAGCTCAGTTTTTAATAAACCATTCAAAATATTTTAATCAAACTTAATATGCTGATACGTGTTTGTGAGAACTATTCAACTGCAAAAACGATTGACCTTGAACTTTCCTGTGACCTTGATCTCACTTTTCTTAAATTTGCATTTTGCTTAATTTTAAAGATTTAAGAAACCATTTAAGATATATTTATGTAAGCTTATGCACTAATACATAATTTGGTAAAAATTTATCATCTATATACAACTTTTTAGATTTTCAATTTCTATTTTAAAGAAACTATTCAAGATATTCTCATCAAATTTCATACACTAATACAAATTTTCATGTTGCATTACTAATATAACCTCGGTGGGGCATTCATGTCCTATGGACATATTTCTAGTTTATGCAGCCTATGTTTGCAGTATAAATGTACGCAGTGTTTTCCCTATGCCGTTTTTGCATGGCGGTACTGCCATGCATTCACGATCCCCCGCCATGCATCACACATTGCCGCTATGCTTCCCGCAATGCATGAATTATTAATGTTAGACTATTTTAAGAAGAAGATATACTTTGAATGTTATCAGTTATTAATCTTTCAATAAAACAATTCAAATCATTAGAATCATAGCACGTACTGTACACATGTTGCGCACCTGTGGTGAACTCGATGCGAATCGTGGTACGGGCTATGATGGAATAGTTGTCAATTTATGTTTATTGCAATTTACTGATATGTTACTAAGTATTAAGCTTTTATTTGATTAAAAATATTTATAAGCATGAAAAATTTATTAACTGCTGTCAGATAGTACACACGGTGAAAGTAATACACATGTTAATGCACATGTGGGTTTTTCCAACATCCACAGGTCATTCTATAAATAGCATTGATGTTCCGACATAAAAAAAATTCATTAGTTAAGCACATAATTTTAAAGCCATTTTTTAGCATAAATATGCTTAAAGTAAACATGTCCAATAAATATTATGATCATTGTTTATTTACTCTATGAATTATGGGCAAATACTTTGTTCAGCGCACATGCTTGACCCACATTCAACAGCTTACGTTGAATAAAAAATAAGTCTGACACCAATGTACTAAATATGTTGTCACAATATTTACATGTAAGCAATGGTGCTACATAATGTTCACCCTTTTTGCTTAAAAATGACTGTAAAAGTAGGGACATCCAAAAAAAAAAAGAAGTAAATTAAATAAAAAAAGGGGGGGTCACTAGGGGCCTATTCAGTTTGTAGAAAGCAAGAATAACACAGCTCATAAGCATGATAAAAAAACAGAAGCTTTAGAGGAAAATAAAATAGAACAATTTTTTGTGATTAGATCTTTTTTTATAAAAGAGAGCTCAATTGTTAAGCTATTTTAAAAGTTAAATTGACAATATATTCAAAATATATCATTTAAATTTAAAAAAAAAAAAGGGTAAATGAATGATGCATTTGTATTTTTCATTTAAATATAAATTCAGATACAAGCAAAAGTAACTCAACGAGACACACCGCGCGCCGTCAATTCAGCAAAATTCCCCCTATGCATTAAAAATTTTCTGGGGAAAACACTGAATGTACTGCTTAAATGCTGGGGTATGTACTTTACAGTGTTACATTGTTTGTTCTCAGTGTTTAATTTGTGAATCTGTTTATCATTTATCACTGTTTGAGACCTACACATCCATTTTTTAAAAAAAATCCACAGTTCTTTAAATCTTGATTTGTTAGTCTGTGACCTTGATCACTGGGGACAGAACTGTGAGATGTCATGTGACTGTACCTATCATGCCCTGTACTGTAACAGTGTGATTGGCTGTGTGTGTAAGCCTGGCTGGTCTGGGAGGTTCTGTGAAGAAAACTTCAATGAGTGTGAGGATGTCAGCCTGTGTCAGTCACCTGAGGTCTGTACAGACACCTATGGATCATTTGCCTGTGTTTGTGAAAATGGCTACCAGAGGAATACCAATACTGGACTTTGTGAATGTGAGTTTGTGTTTACAGTACCAGTATATTTTATTTTTCTTAATTCCTCAAAACCATGAACACAATGAACACAATAATTATTGTTAAAATTTTCATAATTCAATAATATTGTTCAATTAAATACATGTATGAACACTTGATATTTTCATAAGTCTCTCTCGCGATATGGATATAGCTGCAAAAGAAAAATCTTTAATCTAATTGGCGACTAATTTAGTTGCCATGGCGCCTAAAATTTTTGATTGGCGCCTAAATTATTTTCATAAGTCCCCAAATTGCGACCATTTTAATTTGACTTGGCAATCGTCGAATTCTGGAAATTTTAACATTTTTAACAATTTTTATGAAAAAGCGAAAAGAAATTTAAAAGAAGAGGGAATTATTTTTAGCAATGGACATTTCATGTTTTCTTAATCACACCATAGGTCCCTATACTGAATACTATTAATTTTTAAAGTTGGTGCCATAATGAAAAAAGTTGCCTGGCAACTAAAAATTTGCATTGGTGACTAAATTTTTTTGATAAGGTGCCAGCTGGCACCTAAATTTTAGAGGTCCCTTGGAGGCCTGTTTAATAATTCTTTTGCTATAATGTGCATCACAGATTCCAGTGCTTGCAGCTCTTGGGCTCAGTATGCCTGCCCAATAGATGAACTTTGTGTGGACACTACAGACAATTACGTGTGCGTCTGTGCTGAAGGGTTTATTAGAGTTAACGACACTTGTCAAGGTAATTATTTACAATAGATACTGAACACTCCACACATTGATCTGTGAGAGAATTTCAAGTTTTTTGAGAAACCAAATTTCACAAATATTTTCATCCTGACAGATTTGGATGAATGCTCAGAAATGTTACACAATTGTCATCATGAGTGTGTGAATACATTTGGCAGCTTCAGGTGTACATGTAAAACTGGATACAGCCAACAGATCAATGGAAAAGAGTGTCTCCCACAATGTAAGTAGGGTTGGTTTTACTTTCATTGGACCTTAAGGAGGCTCTAAGCACTGCACACTGAAGAGTTCTAATTCCATGGTAGCTGTTTTATGCCTTTAGAGGTTGCTGCATGATCACACTTTTCCCCTGCTTTCAGTGTCTAACCCCTGCAGAAGTAGTAACAAGTGGAACTTCTGTGACCATACCTATGGGGGGTGTACTGTGGATGGAGGAGGAAATCCTGTGTGTTTCTGTAGGGCTGGTTACTCTCCTGTACAAAAGGATAATTTCACTCTCTGTAATGGTAGGTTGAATCTTCGGTATAGGAGAAAGATATGATTTCATTATATACCAGATAATATTGAAGACTTAATAAAATTGACGGGCAACTTTGACATTTATAGCATTAGCTAGCACTATCACTTATAAGAATTACTAAATATTCCATATTTGGCATATTGTCTATTTAAGGAACCAGTGATATGACATCAAGCCTAGAGAAATGGACCATGACCTTTCATACTAAAAATATTAACCACTAGGACTTATACAGAACATTTTGTTTGTACACTTCCCTATGAGTGTTAGATGTGACTAAGGGCCATGTATAAATTTGTAGCTTTGGGAGTAGTCTAAAAAGGCTTGATAAAAATAATTTTGTGGATTTGACATTGATATATTTTTCACAGACCTTCAGGAATGTTGGATGGGTATATCTGGCTGCTCTCACAGTTGTTCAAATACCTGGGGTGGATTTACCTGTGAGTGTCCCAAAGGATTCACACTGGACACTGATAGGAAGACTTGTATCAGTAAGAAATGCTAAATTTATCTCTATTTGTAGTTGTTGTTTTTCATGAAGTATGGAAGTGTTAATGTATAATCTCATAAAAACAATGAATGAGATGCCAAATTAACTATCCAAGTTAAAATATTGGCCATATCAATTAAAAAGCTTACAATAAAGAGCTAAAAGAAAGATTTAAAACCATCAGACTTGCTTTGGATATTGCATTTGACTTGTATACACATGAGTGGCCAAGTTCAAGTTTTTAGGGCAAGTTCATTTCCAAGTAAATATAAGTCATACCTGGACCAAACTTTTGATACTTACTTTCATTTAAGGTTGTGCTGATATGGGAAAATGGGGAGATAACTGCACAAATTCCTGTGGCTGTGGACGTGGTGCCTTAAGATGTGACCCTGTGGCTGGTTGTGTGTGTAAACAGGGCTGGACTGGTCCCTACTGCTCACAACATGTTGATGACTGTAGTAACACCTCATGTGGTACTCATCAAAAGTGTGTTCATGTCAACTTCACTCATCTATGTGTCTGTGAAAACGGTTTCCAAAGAGACTCCAACAATCTTTGTCAAGGTAGAACATTTCTCATGGAAACCTAGCTACTTGACTCAATGATCCAAAAATCTCCAACATGTCTCTAAAGACAATTATAGATATTTTTTGATTCTTCAATTTTGATTTTTAAAATAATTTATAATGCTACCTTCTTCAGCATTCACTGACTAGTGTTTTGGTTGTTGTTTCAGATATTGATGAGTGTTCTGCTAACCAACACCTTTGCACACAGAGATGTATTAACACACAAGGAAGCTATAGGTGCTCCTGTACTGACGGGTTCCAACTCGGATCAAACAACAGCACTTGTGAAGGTATGGTGCAATATTTCATTAATTGGAAGTGGGTTTTTTTTTAATTTGTGTAGTTTACCATTTTGTCTCTATATGTAACAGCTTATAGTGAATTGGAAATGAAAACACTATTATGTGTCATTAATTAATTCCAAGTACAGTCAAACCTGTTATCTCAAACTCGATGGGACCGTGTTAAATTTTTGAGATATATGAGGATTTGAGATATAAGGGGTAATATAAGTGGTTGGGACTTCCAAATCACTTTGACATATCCATAGTATTCGAGACATCAGTGTTCGAGATACCAAAGTTCATCTTATTAGGTCACCTGAGTCACTCAGGTGACCTATTGCTATCTCTTTTCGTCCGTCGTCGTTCGTTGGTCGTAAACTTTTGAACATTTTCAGCTTCTTCTCTGGAACCAGCAAACCAATTTCAACCAATTTTGGCATATAGCATCTATGGGTGAAGGGGAACAAAAATTTTGAAATTCGTGGCCTCTGCCCCCCTGGGGCCTGAGGGGTGGGGCCAAAACCATCAAAATTAATGCAATCTTTAAAAATCTTCTTCTTTACTCCTGGACATCAAGCAGTCAAACTGTTGGGATGATTGTAATAAGCATTGAGCCCTCTACCAAAATTATGAAATTCATGGCCCCAGGGTCAGGGGTTCTGGTGCTAGGGCGGGGCTATATAGATCATATAGTGAAAGTGCATTATTTCTTTGAAAATCTTCTTTTCTACTCCTGGGTATTATTGAAACAAATTGAATACATAGTTATTATAAGCAAGAGTGACTCTACCGAAATTGTGAAATTCATGGCCCCAGGGTCAGGGCTTCTGGTGCTAGGGCGGGGCTATATAGATCATATAGTGAAAGTGCATTATTTCTTTGAAAATCTTCTTCTCTACTCCTGGGTATTATTGAAACAAAATGAATACATAGTTATTATAAGCAAGAGTGACTCTACCAAAATTGTGAAATTCATAGCCCCAGGGTCAGGGGTTCTGGTGCTAGGGCGGGGCTATATAGATCATATAGTGAAAGTGCATTATTTCTTTGAAAATCTTCTTCTCTACTCCTGGGTATTATTGAAAGAAATTGAATACATAGTTATTATAAGCAAGGGTGACTCTACCAAAATTGTGAAATTCATGGCCCCAGGGTCAGGGGATCTGGTGCTAGGGCGGGGCTATATAGATCATATAGTGAAAGTGCATTATTTCTTAAAAAATCTTCTTCTGTACTCCAGGGTATTATTGAAAGAAATTGAATACATAGTTATGATAAGCAAGGGTGACTCTACCAAAATTGTGAAATTCATAGCCCCAGGGTCAGGGGTTCTGGTGCTAGGGTGGGACTATATAGGTCATATAGTGAAAGTGCATTAGTTCTTTGAAAATCTTCTTCTCTACTCCTGGGTATTATTTAAACAAATTGAATACATAGTATGATAAGCAAGAGTGACTCTACCAAAATTGTGAAATTCATAGCCCCAGGGTCAGGGGTTATGGTGCTAGGGCGGGACTATATAGATCATATAGTGAAAGTGCATTATTTCTTTGAAAATCTTCTTCTCTACTCCTGGGTATTATTTAAACAAATTGAATACATAGTTATGATAAGCAAGAGTGACTCTACCAAAATTGTGAAATTCATGGCCCCAGGGTCAGGGGTTCTGGTGCTAGGGCGGGGCTATATAGATCATATAGTGAAAGTGCATTATTTCTTTGAAAATCTTCTTCTCCACTCCTGGGTATTATTTAAACAAATTAAATACATAGGTATGATAAGCAAGGGTGACTCTACTGAAATTGTGAAATTCATAGCCCCAGGGTCAGGGGTTCTGGTGCTAGGGTGGGGCTATATAGATCATATAGTGAAAGTGCATTATTTCTTTGAAAATCTTCTTCTCTTCTCCTGGGTATTATTTAAACAAATACATAGTTATGATAAGCAAGGATGCCTCTTCCAAAATTGTGAATTTCATGACCCCTGGATCAGAGGTTCTGATATTGGGGCGGGGCTCTATTTATTATATAGTGAAAATGCATTAATGCTTTAAAAATCTTCTCTGCACCTGGGCATATCAGAGGCAAAAAGAGTAAAAGTTTTAATAAGGAAGGGTATTTTTACCAGATTTTTGAACATCAGAACCATTTGATCAAGTGTTCTGGTCCAGGCCAGGGCTCTATTAATTTGTATTCTATTGAGAGGAGTTATTCCCCTTTGCCATTTACTTGTGTTAATTAATCACTGTAAATAATGTACTTGAAAGGTTAATAGAATAAGAGAATTATGCAAGAATTTTTATTGTAAAATACAAAAAGTACTTTCATAGTTTTAATGATCAGGTAGACTTGTAAGTAACAGATAAATAAAAATGAGACAAAAATAACTTGTCTTATTAAATGTTCATCAAAGACCAAGAGAGGCCATTGTAAGAGATTTCAACAAGGAATTAAAAGAGTACAGAAGCACTGATTATAAGTTTGTTTATATACTGTCTGGTGAGAGTGATAAATGGGGAACAGATTAGAACCTAATTTATGTACTGTTAATGAACACTAGACTGATTATTTTGTTGATCCTGATCACCCTATTTTTCTTGCTTTTGGGCAACAAAGCTTCACCTTTCAGTTCATTTTATACTCTGTGGATCCTCTAAATTGTTGTATTATACTCAGGTGACCGTTAAGGCCTTTGGGCCTCTTGTGTAATATTCCATTAACCTTTGATTGTAGATGTTGATGAGTGTACACTAGAGACATCAGACTGTCAGCAACAGTGTCTTAACACAATAGGAGGATACTACTGCTTCTGTTATGATGGATTCTATCTGACTGGTTCCAATCAGTGTATTAAAGGTAATCTCTCTCTCTCTGATCTCTCTCGTAATTTTTTGACATATCGGGGAAGTTGAAGCCTCAGTATTAATGGTTCAATTCAGTTAGTAATTCATTCATCCAGCTGAGAACTTGAAGTCAAGAAAGGTTGATTTAGCAAGCACATGCATGTTTTAAGAATTTTCAGTTTAAGGTTATATTAATGTATTATTATATTGAACATTCCTGAAAGTTTTCTTATCAGTGTAGTGCTTTTTGATGGCATATCACCAATATATTGAATTTTCTTAACAATTTCAATTGCATGAATTGTTTGCAGATGTGTCTACCTCCCCCTGTGTTGCCACAGGTGATTCCTGTCAGTATGGATGTAGAGTGGATGGAGGACTAGCTTTCTGTTTCTGTCCTAATGGTTATACACTGAACAAAGACAGAACAACTTGTTCATGTAGGTATACAATAAACACCGATAGGACAACTTGTTCATGTAGGTATACACTAATCACTGACAGGACAACTTGTTCATGTAGGTATACACTAAATACTGACAGGACAACTTGTTCATGTAGGTATACACTAGATACTAACAGGTCAACTTGTTCATTTTGGTATACACTAAATACTGAAAGGACAACTTGTTCATTTAGCATACATGTGATAAGTCAAAGACCACAAAACTGTACAGGAGCCACAAAAAAACTGGAATTTGGGTGAAAAAACTGTACACTGCCTATCAAAAAATGGTACAAAAAAAAAAGGTATAAAATATCGCTTAAATTCTTCTGACAAGGCACCTTATTTCTAAACCAACAAATATATATTGTTGCAAATGTCTTATCTTAAAAGTTGTAATGGAGATTTGAATGCTTTAAAATTTCATATATTGTGTTTTATATAAATCACAATGTTCTTATGAATCGACTATAAATTAAGCTAGTTTAGATGATACTTTGTTTGCCAGCTTTATATAGTATTAATGTGAGAGTCAATGTCTCCAATTTACATCTTGTTCATATTACTGATATATACATCAGCAATGCTAAATAACAGCAGCAAATACAATCATACATAAATTTCAGCACATAAAAACTTAAAACTATATCCTTTATTTCAGCGTAATCATGGTAATAAACATCGTATATTTTATACCTACGGAGATCTGGGTCAGATTCATGTATATTAAGTCATGTATATCAACTTTAGAAGTTGGCTTAATTTTTTTCAATCAAGTTACGAAACATTAAAAGTTATAATTAAGTACCCCTTTAAAAATAAAGCTACCTAAAGGGGTATCTTGATACGGATTTATAGCAAGATAATTATCCCAACTGGCAGTTCACACCTTCACACGGTGTACACTACACAATTATCAGAAGGTCAAGTGTCAAACACAGGTGACGTTTTCCAGTGTCTCGCGAGCGAGAATAAGAGGAAAATGGCGGCATTTAGCGAGAAATTCAAAATACTGTACAAATTTTCATATTACGTGAATTTTGGTGTCCCGCCAGTACACAATGAATGGGCTTGAAAAAACGGTACATTCTGCGTACCACCGGTACATATCACATGTATGATTTAGGTATACATTGAACACTGACAAGACAACTTGTTCATGTAGCTATTCACTAAATACCAACAAGACAAATTGTACATGTTGTATTCACTAAACATTGACAGGAATCCCTTTTCATGTACTAGGTTTTCACTAAACACTGACAGGACAACTTGTTCATGTAGGTATTAACAAAACACTGACAGGACAACATGTTGTATTCACTAAACACTGACAGGACAACTTTTTCATGTTGGTATTCACTAAACACTGACAGGACAACTTTTTCATGTTGGTATTCAGTAAACACAAACAGGACAACTTGTTCATGTAAGCAGGGCTCAACATTAACTTTTAAACATACCAGGCCAGTCGGACAAGTACCTTAAAGTTGCATAATGAGTCAAAACCATGTGTTGCTTTTAAGAAAATTGTATCAAAAAACAAAAGATTTCTGTGAAATATAAATATAGCGAAGTTTTGACAACTCAACTGCACTGTAAAGCAAGAAAAAAACTGCGAAATATAAGTGCTGGAAAAACAAATGTTGTATCTATCGCTTTATTTTTATTGTCAATGTGAACAATGTCAAGGTCACGCATCCTTTTATTTTTAGCGTGAAAGTTGTAAACAACATTGAATTGGGGCAAGCAGAAGTAAGGAATAAGTTATGATCATCTTTTTTGAAGATTGTATCAAAATTCTCAGTCATCCGACATTTATATCTATGAAATTGAAACCATGGTAAATTCTTCCAACTTTTCAGCGCATGCGAACAATAAAGAGGAAGAAGTGAAGCAATATTTTTGTGATGGGTTATACAAAGATTTTTTTTACTTTTATTTTTCTCCATTAAATTAGATTGTTTAGGTTCTGAAACCTGTAATTTTCTGAAACCTAACATCTTCAAGAACTGAACAAAATTTGCATGTATCATGCAAAAATTCTACTGTTGTCAATTTTCCTGTTTGTCCGTCACAGTGTCACTTTAAAATTTTACTAGACCTGACCTCAACTTACTAGACCTGACTTAATATCCATGGATCCACTAAAGTTGTTTTTTTTTAGGGTAGATATTGGCCATTTTAAAATATAGTTCTTTGCTTTTTTAGCTCACCTGAGCTGAAAGCTCAAGTGAGCTTTTCTGATCACCCGTTGTCCGTCGTCCGTCCGTCTGTAAACTTTTCACATTTTAACTTCTTTCCAAGAACCACTGGGCCAATTTTAACCAAACTTGGTACAAAGTATCCTTGGGTGAAGGGGAATATATATTGTTAAAATAAAGGGCCAAGTCCCCTTTCAAGGGTAGATAATCAAGAAAAGACAAAAATAGGATGGGGTCATTAAAAAATCTTCTCAAGAACTACTGGGCCAGAAAAGCTGAAACTTACGTGGAAGCATCCTCTGGTAGTGTAGATTCTAAATTGTTCAAATCATGACCCCCGGGGGTAGGGCGGGGCCACACTAGGGAATACAAATTTTACATTGAAATATATAGGAAAAATCTTTAAAAATCTTCTTCTCAAGAATCATTGGGCCAGAAAAGCTGAAACTTATGTGGAAGCACATTTTAGATTCTAAATTATTAAAATCATGACCTCCGGGGGTAGGGCGGGGCCACAATAGGGAATACAAGTTTTACATTGAAATATATAGGAAAAATCTTTAAAAATTTTCTACTCAAGAACCACTAGGCCAGAAAAGCTGAAACTTATGTGGAAGCATCCTGGGGTAGTGTAGATTCTAAATTGTTCAAATCATGACCCCCGGGGGTAGGGCTTGGCCACAATAGGGAATACAAGTTTTACATTGAAATATATAGGAAAAATCTTTAAGAATCTTCTTCTCAAGAACCACTGGGCCAGAAAAGCTGAAGCTTATGTGGAAGCATCCTCAGGTAGTGTAGATTCTAAATTGTTCAAATCATGACCCCCGGGGGTAGGGCGTGGCCACAATAGGTATTACAAGGGGGGAAGTCTGGTAATGAACAGCACGGCCAAAGTTACTCAGGTGAGTGATGTGGCCCATTGGCCTCTTGTTACAGATGTAAATTCAACAGTAAATGTACAGTTGAAAACAAATATCAATTTCCAATCTGAGTACAATAACCCCTCTTCATTGCCGTACAAAAACCTAAAAGAGGACATGGAAGCTGAGGTATGTAATAAATTCCTTAATGTTATAAAATTACACAAATCTTGGATGTGCCAAAATGTGGCAGAAGTAATCCAAGATCGTAATCCATATTTATCTTTGTTTAGACTCGTTCCTTTTTTGGAAACATTCAGAATCTGAAGTCTGTCAAGATTTTTAGAATTAGGTAAGTTAAAAGGCACAACATATGTTTTATTTTCTGCGTAACAAAAACATCAGATAAAGTGTAAGTTAATCAATCATCATGTTCCCACTATATCACTATTTTACAGTGAGAGCAGTACTGTGTTTGACCTACAAGTGAAGTTTAACACAAATGTCACATTGGAGTTGGAAACACAGTTTAGTACAGTTCTACAGAACATTTACCAAGCAGGAGTACAGTTACAGGGAACAAAATATGCTGTACTAGAAAACCCAGTTACATCAGTACCTTATAGTAAGTGTTAACCAGTCTTGACAAGACTGTAAACAAAAGATCAAAATTTTTATGTTGAATTAATGGGAGGTACATTGATGTAATCCTAGAGTTTAGAGTAAATGCTAAAGCTTAATGATTTTGAAATTATCTACCAGGCCTAAAGTTTGTTAATGATAAGAGGATATAATATGAACAGTCAAGGTCATAGCTTGAAAAAGATTTGTTGTAGGTCAAGGTCACCGGGTTCAGAAGTGCAAACTCCTATGCAGGCCATAATTCTAGATCTGAAATTTAGGGATTGTTAAAAAAACCTTCTTAAAACAAACCATGCAAAGGACCAAAGGATATTTTCTGAATTTATATACAGTTAAACTTCGATATTTCGAAGTTGACGGGACCGTTGATGAACTTTGAGATATCCAGGGGTTTGACATATCGAGGGTTATAATTCAAATGAACTTCAAATAAACTTAGTGCAGTGAACATGTACTTAATAGTGAAAACATGTCAAATTCCTTCTTGTTCGAAATTCTGTATACGATTTCTTTAATATATATGTACATGTATTTAGCAATCAAAAAAAAATTTACATCCTCTTTATACTTCACAAAATAAAAGGCTTGTATAATATGCACAGAAGTATAATCCTTCTACCAATGCGGCAAGTCAACATCGTTTCCCATGTAAACATAACCAGATATCATCTATGCATTGTAAAGAGCTAGAGCCATGAACCATCGAAATGTGCCTCAACTCAAAAATTAACGAGAATTTCAATAAAGATAGTGTAGACTTTTAGCTTTTCATTACTGTTTTTCTTTTTTAGATATCTATTACTGTAAACGTGGAAATTTTGACGACGTGCTAATTTTGACTATATTGACAATTTTTCTTTTCTCGTCAAAATTTCCACTCGTCAAACTTCACATCATATATATAGCGTCACAACAGACATTGACCGTTGTACAACTTCACCGCTTAATTTTCTCGCCTTCCCCCCACTAAAACTAGATCAAAGTTGCTGTTTAATTTTTGGTAAATAGTTATGAAAACATATACACTGTAATTACAGTTTTAAAATCCATTGAGTATGTCATATACTATTATTACCCACGGTCACAACATTCTAACTTTGCATAATTATCACGCCGTGTTTGACCTACTTTGTCACCTCAGGCAATCTGTCTCGTATAATGAAAACAAAATACAAAAAGAGCAATTAATTCAATCAAATCTTATACACTGTAGATGTTTTTTACAAGCAAAATTAAATTTAATTTTATTGATGAGAACGCTTGTAAATGAGTTCCCAAGAAAACCCTTTGTAAACTTTCAGGACCAATTTCGCATAGAACGGCTTAATTGTAGACGTTCTCAAGTCAACTAAGCCAATGTTTCCATCAAGTTTTTGGTCCTCTTGTTTCTGGCGAACTTATTCTGAGCACCAGTTTTGAAACTCGTTTTTTGAGGTGTTCTTTGTATTCATTTTTGTTTTAATCTTGTGAAATCAAAGATACATAACTCTTGATTCAATATTTTGTTAAAATTAACACTCGTCAATTTTCGTAAAGAAAAAATCGTCAATTTTTCAACTCGTCAAAATAACCACGTTTACAGTATACTTTTTAAAGAAGAGATTTTACACTATGGCATTGTTTTGATTGAAATTTGCGTGAGGAACGTCATTATTTGTAACATAACGTCATTACGTTACATTGTAAAAAAAAATTGCATTTCAATTGTATGAACACATTTAAAAAACGAAATTGGAATAGAGAAGTATCTATCAGCATCATGATCAGTTTATCAATATATTATAAGAAGATGGGTTGTTGATTTCATATTGCAGTTTATGCGATAACTGCATGCGCGCGAGTATAACAGATTGCATTATATCCTGTAGTACATATAAGAATAATCTTGGACCAAGGCTTTAAACGAAGGGACGTTCTACAGTATCTGCTTATCTTTGTACAACTGAGTGTTGCAATAGTCTTAGTTACAGATATGTATTTAAGTACATGTATCAAATACTATAGACATATGACTTACTGCAATATACGGTATTATTTTCTGATATAATAAACTCTGGAAAGCTTTATCTGACTGGATAGAAATATAAGTGCAAACATATTTTAAATAGAAAGTGACGTCTGGTGCGGAAATTGTCAAATCCTTTTCTTGGCGAGAATCTGAGCCTATTAAAGATCTTATTCTAAATTAAACTGAAATTGAATTATCATAGGAGAGTACTTTGTGAGTGTGAAGGACTTGTTTCCGATTCATATGTGCATTTTGACAATAAAAAATATTCAAACAATTGAATGTCTCCCCGATTTTCGTTTAGTTTTAAACAAAAACTCTAGAAAATTGTCTTTTTTGTAACTTATAGATGAATTTAGTTTTTTTTTTCCGATCAGATATGTATCTCGCCTTAAAGCAGAATTATTTTTTTAAAATTTATTATGTATTATTGCTTCCATGATTTTGTTTTATTTTATATATTTTTTTATTTATATTTATATATTTTTTTGGGGGGGGGGGGGTAGCAGAAGAACGTAACACATGCGTTTTAATTTCGAAACATATACAATAGAGTGTACTGCATAAGAAACTGCGCCTTTGTTTATTCTTTGATATATTGTTGAACAGTTCAAGTATTCAAGTCCGTGAATGATTGTTGCTTGTCTCCAATATTACATTCATGTGTTTATTAAAAAAAATCACTTAAAATCGTTATGCAGTCTCAGAAAAGTAGTACCCGGGAAAGGGGCAGGGTCAATTATTTTTGGACCCCCTTTCTCTATTTTTCATTCGATTAAATAAACTTTTTAATCGCGTTAAAATTACCACCTTGCCACATTTTTTAAAATAATTGAACCGAAGACATCTAAACTACCAGTCTTAGTGAAGAGCCTTTTCTAACATCCCCCCCCCCCCCCAAAATGTCCCAATGACGAAGATATGTCGCGTACTAAAATGGGCTATATCATATGAATTGACAAATAAAGTATGTCCTGGAATATTCATATTTCAAAAGCGTCATTTTTTGTTTAATTGTCATCTCCAAGTAACATTTTTTACATCACTTGCAGAGGGATTCCCTTCTATTTATAGATCAAACTATTCATCATTTGAATCTGGGTTTTTTTTCACTTAATGATCTAATGGCCGACCTGCTTTTCTGCGATTTTATTTTCGCAACCTTTCTGATTTTCCGTGATGATGTTTTACATGTCAGTGAAAATGTTCATACAGAAACAAATCATGGTAACAAATATACATGTATTACATATGGACCTCACACCGAACTGTAAAAGCATGTATATATATGTGGTAGTTGTACTTTTTATTTTTAGAATATTTATTTTAATTAATTGTGTATATTATTCTCATTTATTATTTTATTCATTTATTCATTCAGCACTGTGCAATGCGATGTACTAACACTCTATGTTGTCTTTGTTCAGTGTCTGTTATAAATCTAAACACCCCTATTTTAAATAATGTTCTGTAGATCTTTTAATATCTAGACCAGTGCTTGTTTTTAATCTTTGTTTTATCCAGTGCTAAGTAGGCAATGATCAACATGTTTTTACCTGGGTGACGGAAGAGGTACATGTTAAAATACATTGCGGAAAAGGCAAAAAGTTTAATCTAACTTGTCGCGATAAAGCAGTTTTTTTTCGTGGAAAAGCAGTGTCGAATCGCGGAAAAGTGAAATTGCGGATTTAATCTGTTAAAGCTGTCCGATCTATGCTATGTCTGATCATCCTAGATGTGATTGAGAAAGCTAGTATAGGCAAACCACCTAATAGTAAACGAGGGTCCAAAATACATGCATTGGAAAGGCACGACCCACATCATAGTGCGCTGTCTTATACTTTATTTTATACATCCTATGTGTGCAAATCGTGAGTCAGACACCTTTTTTTCATTTTAATTGGATCACCTCGGTATTTTACCTCAAAATGCATTCAGATGTAATAAAAATTCGGACACATTTGACATTGGGTCGGATACTTTTCTACATCTATAAAATCATGCACATATATACGCACAGATCTATAGAGGGGGTGGGTTATTATATTTATATAATAAAATAACCAACAGATGTCCTAGGAGAGCCCCCTCCACACACACACAAGAAACACGGACCCCTTAAAATGGCAAGAAGAGTCAATTTAGCGGTTTGTTCACGAGAATCGAAATGTCTTACACTTGCACCCCCTTTCAGGAATTTTTTTTCTTGTCAAAACATTTCTGTGTAGTTCCCCCATCCCCCACACCCGAATTGGAGAAGTTTTTTTTCTTCTTTTTTCCACCTTTTTGTGTTCGTCAAAAAAAAAAATAAATAAAAAAAGAAAATAATAATAATAATTATGAGTCATTTTTTTAAACGAGCGTGGTCCCCCCATCTGTACAAATTTAAACTGCCTTTAAGTAACTTCTTTTCAAAAATGTTTAATACTTTTAGTATTAATGTATTGCTTTTTACACTTGTAAAAAAGGACATCGTAAAAAATGTAAGCGGATAACGTAGAATAGGAAACCTAAAAAAGTTCTAAGAGGAAGTCTAAGACATCGTGAAAGGCTAATAAATAAGAAAAAAAACTGAGGAAAGGTGGAGAGAGAGAGAGAGAGAAGGGGGGGCTTAGTGTTTTAGTGGTTACTGTTTTAGTGTAGCTAACTAAATAATTGAGAACACAATTAATCGATCTCGAAGACATAAATACCATATATTTCTACATTTAAAATATCAGTGCGTGATCAAATCAAACTTTTCTGCTTAATGTATATCTAAAATGCACATAATTTTTGCGTATTATATTTTAAATAATAACCTTGGAATAAGGTATTTGTATTTTAATTAATATGAAGAATCGGGGGGAGGGGGGGGGATATTACATTCAACATCTGGTTCTGGCAATAAATCAGAAAGTGGATCTCGACACTTTTCAATTATTATAAAATTATTTTAACAAACTTCCTCAAATTATCTGTGCTCAGATGTAGTCGACGTCAAATTATGACGTCATTATTAAAGACGATGAAGACAAGCATAACTTCTTATAATTATTTATTTTTGAGTTGGCGTTTGTGGCCACGACCTACATAATACAATATATACTTTATTTAATCGTATATAACATTAATCCTTATAAACTTTATAATCCTTATCCTTATAAACCTTATAATCCTTATCCTTATAAACCTTATAATCCTTATCCTTATAAACCTTATATATCCTTATCCTTATAATCCTTATCCTTATAAATTCCTTAAAATGGGAATAGTGACAACACTCCTACTGGTACTGGGTGAGCAGATACTCAGCAGAAGTTGTGAAAAAATACTTGTATCATAGAGGGCGTCTCGAATAACCGCCAAATGGTTGTCCGATGAAAAGGACAACCACCGCCAACAAAGTTATTTTTAAGCTACGAGACAAACAACACCCACCTCTCAATCCAACTGTAACAAATATTGTGACGTCAAACATAAACGGCGATAACGTCATCTACATCAGGGCATTACGCGCACAAATCTAAGGCGCGGATCTCATGCACAACAGTAACCATCGCTGTAATAATTGGATTTATTTCGTAAAGGAAATAAATCTTATTATTGTTATACGTAAGCATGATTGAAAAGAACGTAATTTTAAATTTTACTTGAAATACCACATTTTAATGTGAGTTTAAGATATTCTACAACAAAATAATTGACATATTAGGGCTTATGTAGTTAACAGGAATAAATGTGATATATTAATAACTAATTTAGGCTACTTACTATGTAATGAACTCATAATTACTGTTAAATGGAGGACCTTGCTTCAGTTTCTGATAGCTCAACGTTCATAAAATGTAAAATTCATATTGGTCACACTCGAGTACCTCTAAGATATTTTGCATAAAGATGCATCTACCGGTATGTAATATTTTTCTGTCTGCAAAGTTTGGAATTGGTACTTGAGTGTGGCCACATTCAAATTTTGAAATAACTACAGTAAAATCAATGTATTTTAGAAGTTTTTTAACTTCATTTGTATATTTGATGCTGCGCATGTGCTAAAGACTGTGGCCTGTGTGACAAAAAATTGTATGTAGAGTAGCATGACATCGTGAACTATAATATAGCACATGACAGGCTTTGTGATATCAAACTTCAATTTTGTCTAAAATCTAAGGCACATTTAGATGGTTCGTGGCTCTAGCTCTTTAAAATCGGTCTCTGTCAGAATATCGAAAATGAAATATACATCTTCTTTTATTGGAAAAACATGTTCACACATGTAAAATCAGTTAAAAGAAAATTATTTTACCATAATAAAATCAAATGCAAAAGAAGAATCAGGCACTTTTGTCTAACTACAGAACAACACTGATCATGAATCACAGGGCACTATACAGCTCACAAGTTTTTACTGCAACACATGCTCACATGGTGGTGTGTACAGATGATTGTAAATTCTGCACTGTCATATAGGGGAAATAAATTCTAATAGCATTAAATTACAGAATTTTGTTTTACTTCAATGTTTATAATTTTCTCTCATATCCATAAACTATGTGTGCGCGCATATTTCACATAGCATTAAATAGCGATTATCAAGATAAACGTACCCAAGCCACAAAACAATTAACATGTCATCCACGCGGATGCATTAGACTAATACACACAACCTTTGGCTTGCATAATTACAATCAAGGTAAGCCATACATACACTTCATATAATTATCACGCTGTTATCTGTTGATCACAGGACCACAGGTAACCTGAGCGTGACAGACAGGTAGGTATTATCAATAAAGCATTTAGTTTACCTAACGGACTTGATCATCAGAGCGGAAAATTATCCTGACTTCGAGATAACGCATTTGATTTTAATGAATGGGTACACAATTTTACTTCGAGATAACCGTGGTGTTCGACATTACCGTGTTCGACAGAGAGGGGTTTATTTTAATCATTTATAAAGCAAATTTCGTCGGGACCGCGGCCTTACTTCGACATATCCGAGGTATTCGAGATATCCGTGTTTGAGATTTCGAAGTTTAGCTATAAGCTTGATTGTTGTTGTTAAAAAAAATGCTTCTATGGCCCATAACTCAGATGTACAAACTTCAGAAGTTTGTGCTTGAGACAAAGATTGCTTAAAATGGCCATTGAATGTGTGAGTATGTAAACTGACCAAGTTAACTGGATGGAGTTACAAGCTAAGGGCAGATAAAAGATAAAGCATTGTGCTCATAAGTTTGTGATTTGGGGATATTAGAAGTTCATATTTGACACAATATGGTTGCAAGTGGCTGAAGAATATCAAAAGCCATATGTACAGCCAATGGTGCAAGAACTTGAATAGTGAATTTCTTTTCAGGTTTAAGAGACCATCTATGTAGAATTACAGATATATGCTGTACTTGGTTTGAATGCAGTTCTTTTTTTTTGGGGGGGGGGGGGGGTTAATAAATCTCATTAGGGAAACTCTCTTACTATGCTAGTTTTTAATACCAAATACTGTATATCATATGAGGGTTATGCATATGCATTCTTCACAGAATATTGCAGTTCTGTTGAAAATTATCATAAAATGCTGACTTCTTATATCTTTGTTAGCTCACCTGAGCTGAAAGCTCAAGTGAGCTTTTCTCATCACCTGTTGTCCATTGTCCATCTGTCCGTTTGTCTAGCTGTCCGTCCTTCTGTAAACTTTTCACATTTTCATCTTCTTATCAAGAACCACTGGGCCAATTTTAACCAATGTTGGTACAAAGCATCCTTGGGTTAAGGGGAATATATATTGTTAAAATGAAGGGCCAAGCCCTCTTCTAAGGGGAGATAATCAAGAAAAGACAAAAATAGGATGGGGTCATTAAAAAATCTTCTCAAGAACCACTGGGGCAAAAAAGCTGAAACTTATGTGGTACCATCCTGGGGTAGTGTAGATTCTAAATTGTTCAAATCAAGACCCCCGGGGGTAGGATTGGGCCACAATAGGGAATCCAAGTTTAACATTAAAATATATAGGAAAAATCTTCTCAAGAACCACTGGGCTAGAATAGCTGAAACTTTTGTTGAAGCATCCTAGGGTAGTGTAGATTCTCAGTGTTTTTTCCCCTTATATAACTGGTACCAATAAAAAGTACCATTCCCAATGCCAAAAAAGCTAATTTTTCCCAATTTTGAGACTAAAAATTCCCAATTCCATAGCCAAGCAACATCATATTTCTTTTATATGAAACATTGTACAAGTTGACCAATTGTTTTGCATTCACTTATTAAATTGAAAGTAGAGATTAGTCATTATATGGCGGGACCTGTGGTGTAAACAGTATAGTGTCGTACATTTTGACAAATTGAAAGCATGAAAATGCAAAAACAATTAAGGGACATTGATATGAAAACAATAAAATACTTGTTGTGTATATTCTTTAAAACACGGAGTAATAGGTAATGAGGTTGGAATAAACGCAAAAAACATTTCATATGTTTAAATGACAGAAAATTCTCCTTTGTCCTACTTCAATGTAATTTTTCCCAATTGAATCGGTACCGGACCCTTACTCAATGAGTAGAAAAAAATCAACGATTCTAAATTGTTCAAAATCATGGCCCCTGGGGGTAGGGTGGGACCACAATAGTTTTACATTGAAATATACTGGAAAAATCTTTAAAAATCTTCTCCGCAAGAACCTTAGGACCAGAAAAATTGAAACTATAATAGATTTTCCTTGCAGGCTTTTAAATTCAATAAAAATATAACAGAACTTCTAATGTACATGTTTATTTATTAGCCCATCTTCAACAGATAACTAATAGGGGGTAAAGATACAGCTAGATCGAGTGTATCATGATGTATCATTATACACTTGGACTGTATCATATGTATCATGATATTTCACCTATTGCAGGGATTTGTTCTTAAATGAGGACCTCTCTATTACAGTGTGAAAGGATATAAAGTTGATTATTTCAAGTTCATAAATACATTATGTGACATTTAACATACGGTCAAACCTCGTTATCTCGAACCCGAAGGGACCGAGAAAATACTTCAAGATAACCGAGGATTCAAGTGTATCCAGGGTAAAATACTTAAGGAATAAGCAGTTGGGACTTCCAAATCACTTTGACATATCCATGGTATTCGAGATATCTGTGTTCGAGATACTGAAGTTCAACTGTATATATCGTGGTGCACAGGTATACAGTTTTTGTATTGCAGTATGGTACAATTTTTTTATGTGTCATGGTATACTGGTATATTATTAGACCCCATATAACTAATTTATAGGTGGTAATGTTTTTTTGTTTTTTTAATTTTGTTTTTTTTTTTTCTGTAGGACCTGCCCCCTGTGTACTTTGTCTTTCCACTGAAAGATGTCACATCCTTGTGGATAACAGCTATGTATGCAGGTACTTTTTTCTCTATTCAATGCACTTGAGGACGTTTCAGATGAGTTTATTTAACAGTCAGTTTTTTTCTTTGCTTTATGATATGGCTGTGCATACTATAGATAACCAAATTTTTGCAAAACCTTATTTTTGCGAGAAAGCCATATGTTATTTACAAGTGAGATAAAATTTTAATGAATTCTGGTTATACATTGTATAAAGTTTATTTCCCCAAGTTAAGTTTCAGTGCTTTATCTGCATGAAGAAATGTAAATTTGTACACTAAAGTGTGAAGAAGTATTAACTTTGTGTAATAATTTCTTTTTTCAGAACTGTTTCAGGTATGCAACAAATTTATTTAAATTGATTATATACAGTTAATATTAGCTGTAACTGATAGTATTTTGTGAAACACCTAGTTATCCTTTCATATTAGGTAAGTGAATATTTATCCTACATAATATTTATATTCAATTTCTTTACATTAGTACATGTATATATACATGTATGTAACTTAATCATCAAATTTAATTTTTTTTTAGTAAGCACTACTAATGCAGTATCCCTGAAAATAACAACAGCTAAGAGTTATGAAGCATTTATGGCAGATACAACAGATATAAAATATGCTGTGTTTGAAAACTCAGTCATCACAACAGTAAGTCTAATGCTACACCTACAATATTTAAGGAGTTTTGGTTTCATGATGTGATCAAGCAGTTGGCTTGTGTGATAATTTGCATAAATGCCGAAGGCATTTATGATACCAAAATATCTGAGTTATTCCTTATATTTACATGCACTTGATTCTGTTAATTCACGTGCTACAAACCCCGCTTATTTCTGTCTCTGTCCCACCCCACACATGATTTTTTTAACCAAGCCTATCAATAAACCAGTAGCTTTATGTAGAAATCAAGTATTTTTACTATTTGTAGTTTTATCTTGGACAAAGAAATTTTAAAATGTAAACATACAGACAAACCTCGTTATCTCGAACTCGATGGGACCGTGAAAAAACTTCGAGATATCCAAGGATTCGAGATTTCGAGGGTAAAATATTTTAAGAATAACTGGTTGGGACTTTAAAATCACTTCGACATATCCATGGTATTCGAGATATCAGTGTTCGATATGCCGAACTTCAACTGTATATAAAAAAAGAAGTATATCCATTAGCTTGTACATGATATGCAAATTGTTGCATGGATCACAAGAAAGATGGAACTAACAAAGATATGATTTTTTTTCTAGCTGAATGAAATACTGAACTTCACAGTGGTAGACAGAATCCAGTTGTCAACAATATTGTGAGTGACCTGAAAATTAATGCCAATGTATTTTCATCCTTATAATTCTAGTTCTTAGTGCACGCATCATCAAATAATTTGGTACGTTCATATTTTAAGACATTTTGTTGAAATTTTTGGAGGTGTGCATCCTTTGTGAAATTATATAGGCAATGTTTGAGTTTGTCACTCACTCAGAGGATGAGGAGTTGAGTATAAAAATTTCCTTGTGTATAGGTACAGTTGATTCAGGATATTACAATTGTAAGCTGAACCCTTTAAAAGGCACAGCAGATTTATAAATATTTCTTGTATTTTAGAGCTTTGGCCACTGGAACAAAATTACATGTGACAGTCCTCTTGAAAGTGTTAACTGACCCAGATTTTGTGACCCTGATTGCCAGTAAAGTCAACGAGAAAATAGACACTGTAGGGTGCATAACTCTTGTTGGTAACTGTGTACCTTTGTTAAAGAATACAGACATCTTTGATGGAACTCGAGAAGGTTAGATTACTTCAGTGCTTGTAAAATGAAAGATGGAAACAGAAAGATTTTATTGTAAGCTAGGCTACAGTAAACCAGTTTTCTATTCTAGATAAAAGTCTTGCAAATTGTGTAGCCATGATTGTATGTACAGTAAAATTCGGATATAAAGAAGTCTCTGGGACTTGGAATTTTGCTTCCTTATAACTGAGGTTTTTTATATCCATGTAAGGAACACAGTGAAAAGTTACATACGGGATTTATTCAAGTCTCCTTATAACCTTATTTCCTTATAAGCAAGTTTGCATAACCAAGTTTTACTGTAGTACATGTAGTTAGATTTGTCAAGTTTCAGGGGAAAGTTTTTCTGAATTTTAAACTCAAAACAGCATAAGCATTGTACAGGAAAAAAAAATTCTATAGCCCTACCCAGTATGTTTAACATTTCACAGTATTGTTGACTTCCATCCTGAGCTACTAGGTAATTCACCTCTGTGTTGCCAGCAAAAAATGACCTTGAATTTATTTTATTTAATACAGTTCCAGTGGTATGCAAGACATGTTCAGAAAATGTAACCTGTATCACTCATTCTCCAGGCTGGTGGAATTGCTTGATGTAAGTAGATGGCTGAACATATCGTATTAAAATGAAGTTCAAAAGATAGAACAGACATACAATGTAAATTTGGAGAAATTATCCTCACATATTAGTACAGTAAAACTTGTCTAATCCGGATGTTGTATAATCCAAAATCTTGCCTAATACAATGTAAAATTGAAGTCCTTTTCAGTAAATTCATTTGTTTAAAGTGTTGTCTAATCCGGAATGTTGTCTAATCTGGCCAATTTCTTGGAACCAGTGGTGTCCAGATTAGACAAGTTTTACTGTATGTAGATGTGAAAATAGTAACTTTATTAGATCATGATTACCTTTTATGTTAATTTGATTATTTGAAACCTTAATGTTTTCTTAGATATGGCAAATTAAAATCAAAGCCCAAATATATATGGCATTGTTTCTATAATACATTTAATTTATTACAGAAGTACTACTGTAATTCCATCTACTACACCTGTTCCTACAACAACTGAAACAACAACAGGTACAGATAATGTATAGACTGTGGTTTAATTGTGTGGATGTATTTTGTTAATTATACCTCCAACTTGAAATTCGGGGGGTGGGGGTGGGCATATAGTGATGGAAGTGTCCATCTGTTACACTTAGGGTTCACAATGCCTTCAGTACCACTGAATGCAATTTAATTTGACTTTGTTTTATGTAGAGGCTTTTTACATCTCCTATTTTGCATTTTGATTGGACACATATTCAGGGTTTCCCATAGCAAATCATGGACACTGCCATTCTTTCTTTCTATAATATTTTGGTTACCCATCTCTTATCCATAACTCCTTATAAATCACTGAATAAGATTTAATGAAACGCTTTCACAGAATCTTTATTACATAGTGCCATATTCTGCACCTCCTGTTTTACATTTTGATTGAACAGATTTTTGAAGTTTCCAATAGGAAAACATTGACTTTGCCATTATACTTGATAAAAGGGGAACTATTTTGTTAACACAATTCCTTCTAAACTCCAGATTGAAAATCAATGGTACTTTCACAGAATCACAATTACATGCTGCCAAGAAATGCACTTTCCACATTATATTCATAATTGAGTGGGTGGGGGTATCATTTTGTGAGCTCGGTGCTCACAGTATCCCAAGTATTTCTGTTAGCACCTACTTCTAGAACATGTGCAAATTCAACTTGTTTATATAATATATATTATATAACAACCCTTTAACATATACATTAATTTATATAAATTTTGTTAAATTTGTACTTCATTCAGAGTATGAATGACGCACAGTATTTTGTTTTCTAAAACAGTTTAATTTTTACAGAAACAAAATATTCATGTAAAATATTGATAATCTAAGAGAACAGGACATTTCTCATTGACAGTTTCAGCAGTTTCTAGCACCCCCAGAACGATTACAGAGGACAAGCAGATAATTGTGGGGGTGGGGGTAGCAGTCCCCCTGGGGGTCCTTTTCCTTGTCCTAATTATTGTTCTTGGTGTACTACTGTGCAGGAAGTGGCATCACTGGAAAATACAAAGGTTGGTGACCTCTCCTTAATTAGAATATTAGAAATTCCAGTTCATAATTGAAATGTTTTTTCTTCATTCTGCAAGATTGTTCAAGTGTCTACCTTGCACAGATCATATATGATAGGCATAAACTGATCCAAATACTGTGCATTTTTTCAAGGACCCCATATATTTTTCAATTACCCCTCTAAGTGTCTTTTTAACAAATTTATCCTGTCGAAGATTTTTCAGTAAAATTCATTTTCTCTGAGCAAACCTTTCTGTAACAATTGTTTACATTGTGATGTTGTCTGATTCTTATGTGATGTCAGTTATTAAGCTCCTTGCGAGGTCAAGTGAAAATGTATATGGAATTTGATATTTAATCGGTAGGACATTTGGAAGGGGGATGTTTATTTGATACCTGGTCAGTAGGTCACATGTGTGGGTGGGGGCCATATTAACAATACCATGTCAGTAGGCAGCATGATATGGTTTTATGCAGTATATATTTCTCGACCAATGAAATTTCAAGATTTATATCAAAGGCAGAAGAAATTTGGCAGATGGATATTATTATCATGAAATAACTTTTCACGTACACTTGTGACCCACATATTGCCTTGATGTTTGACCTCAGATTGTTAATTTTGAGGGCAGGGAATTTCCTTATGGCCAGATCTTTTAACTCAGCATTATATTTAACATGTATCATCAAAAGATGTGTTTCAAGCCAATTTGACCTTTGACCTCAAAGTTTTGAATTATTACATTTGCAATTTTGGTTGAAAATTTTTGGGGCATAAACTTTTTTTATCAATGACACTGTGGTTATGATGTTTAACATGATGTTATCAATAAAGTCTGTACCATAATGATCTCTGTACATAATCTTGATCTATAAATTAAATTGAATAAAAAAACAAATGTTTAAATTATTTGAAGCAACATTTCAAGCTTTTACCCAGATTAACCACGAAGTTCAATGATTTAGAACAATTGAATGTAGAAGTACATTCATTTGTGACAAAAGTTTTCTCTCTTTCCTATATATTTCCATGACTTAATTTATAGTGAGATGTATCACCTGTATTTGAAGACACAGGTCAAATATCCAGGTTACAATACAATGAAATGTAGAAATCATTGCAAAACATTTCTGAGCAATAAACTTTGTAACTCTTGACTGGGAATAATTCAAATTTCAGTCTGCTGTCATCATGATTTTGACTCATATCTAGTATGTAAATATTGTTCCAGGGTCATGTTCAGAAGCATGATCTTTATGTAAAATTTTCTCATGTAATCTTGTGTTTAGTTTTGGACCTGTATATGATCATTATTATGGTACATTTTTGCAGGAATAGGACTCAGAACTATATTGCAGGCCCACAACAGAGAAATCAGACAAACAGAGAGAGGGTAAGTGTCACACTATAAACATCAGATAAAACTTAATTTGTGAATAAAATGACAATTCTAAATAAAAATTATTTCATTCTGTATGAAATCTACATTTCACTCTAGAATTTATTCATTATTAATTAAAGGTGATATGGTTAATATAATTTTGTGTATTTTTGACCATGTGATTTGTCATAAAAATATATGGTTGAGGTATGTTAAAAAAGATATTTTCTTGAGAAAATTCACATCAGTCATGTATTTACATTAGTGTTTTGGAAAACCTTAATTTTATGAAAATCTTGGATGCATGGCTTCATGTGATACTCTTCCAGCAATAGGTAAAACTTTCCAAAAAAAACCCCACAATCGTAGGTATAGAATTTCATATTTTTCAGGTAGTCTTTCGGCAACCTATAGGACACATTAGACAACCTTCTGCCCAAGTAAGTATTTTCTTGGCACATGTCAAAATACTGTAAAATATTAAACACAATTTTATGATTTTTTTTTGTCATTAGAAATTTCGTTATGATAACATTAACTCACATTAATGTGTATTAATTTTTGGAACAGCCTGGACTTAGACCTGGCTTCATGTGTTTCTGTTATTTGAGACATTTTCAATCTTTTACCAGCACTTTAATGAAGAATCATTCCTGTATAAGCACAGAAGTTTGTCCATTAATTTTTATTTCTAATGCACAACTTGAAACTTTGGCATCTTAAGTATATCATATAACTTTGCTCATGTACATGTACCCAACTAGCAGGACTGCTGCAGGAGTTGTATTCAGGCTACTAAACAGCATGCTTTTGTGTAACTAAACATCTCGAGTAATTGACTCGCTTGTTTCAAATTAATTAGGTTTCACAGTTTTTGACAACAGAACAGTTGTCTGAGGTTAGCACACCAAAATTGTTTTAAAATTTGAAAAATAAAAACTGATTAAATTCATTTATGAAGGTATTGATTCTTTTGACTCATTTTTAGCTCACCTCAAGGAAGTTGGGGAAGCTTATGTAATACCCTCAGCATTGGCATCCCAGGTTAAAGTTTTTGGAGCAGATTTCTTTTCAAGTACTTCTATGCCCTATATTAATCAGAGATGCATGGAGGATGCTTGTAGTATGTTTCATTGTACCAGTCAAGGTTTCAGATGCTGCAATTTCAGCTGAAGAATGACCAGGTTAATGTTTTGGGAGCAGGTTGAAGTTTTTGGAGCAGGTCTCATTTCCGAGTAACTATAAGCCCTATATTGACCAAACTTGCATGGATGATACATCTGAGGATGCACAGTACTGGACTTGCTTCGGATGCTGGATCTGACCTACATTTTTCGGATGAGTGACCAGGTTAAAGTTTTTAGAGAAGGTCTCATTTCCAAGCAAGTTTAAGCCATATGTTGACCAGACGTGCATGGATGATGCATCTAAATATGCACACTACCAGGCTTGCTTCGGATGCGGTGTCTGACCTATATTTTCTAGATGAATGACCAGGTTAAAGTAAACTATAGGGCTATCTGAACTAAACTTGCATGCATGATGCATCACGGGAACTCTCTCAAACTTGCTTCAGATGCTGGATATGACTTAAATTTTCTGGATGAGTGACTAGTTTAAAGTTTTTAGCTCACCTGAGCTGAAAACTCAAGTGAGCTTTTCTGATCACCTGTTGTCTGTCATCCGTTCGTCTGTCCGTCCATCTGTAAACTTTTCACATTTTCAACTTCTTCTCAAGAACCACTGAGCCAGAAAAGCTGAAACTTATGTGGAAGCATCCTTTGGTAGTGTAGATTCTAAATTGTTCAAATCATCACCCCCGGGGGTAGGGCGGGGCCACAATAAGGAATCCATTTTAAGCTCACCTGAGCTGAAAGCTCAAGTGAGCTTTTCTGATCACCCGTTGTCCGTCGTCCGTCTGTCTGTCCGTCCGTCTGTAAACTTTTCACATTTTCGACTTCTTCTCAAGAACCACCGGGCCAATTTTAACCAAACTTGGTATAAAGCATCCTTGGGTGAAGGGGAGTTTAAATTTTTAAAATGAAGGGCCAAGTCCCCTTCAAAGGGGAGATAATCAAGAAAATACAAAAATTGGGTGGGGTCATTAAAAAATCTTCTTCTCAAGAACCACTGGGCCAGAAAAGCTGAAACTTATGTGGAAGCATCCTGGGGTAGTGTAGATTCTAAATTGTTTAAATCATGACCCCCGGGGGTAGGGCGGGGCCACAATAGGGAATCCAAATTTTACATTGAAATATGTAGTAAAAATCTTTAAAAATCTTCTTCTCAAGAACCACTGGGCCAGAAAAGCTGAAACTTATGTGGAAGCATTCTGGGGTAGTGTAGATTATAAATTGTTCAAATCATGACCCCCGGGGGTAGGGCGGGGCCACAATAGGGAATCCAAGTTTTACATTGAAATATGTAGTAAAAATCTTTAAAAATCTTCTTCTCAGGCACCACTGGGCCAGAAAAGCTGAAACTTATGTTGAAGCATCCTGGGGTAGTGTAGATTATAAATTGTTCAAATCATGACCCCCAGGGATAGGGCGGGGCCACAATAGAGAATCCAATTTTATATTGAAATATATAGGAAAAATCTTTAAAAATCTTCTTCTCAAGAACCACTGAGCCAGAAAAGCTGAAACTTACGTGGAAGCATCCTGGGGTAGTGTAGATTCTAAATTGTTTCAATCATGACCCCTGGGGGTAGGGCGGGGCCATAATAAGTACTACGGGGGGGGGGGGGGGGGAATCAGGTGAAAAACAGCAAGTCCAAAGTTACTCAGGTGAGCGCTGTGGCCCATGGGCCTCTTGTTTACTTTGAAACATACAGAAAAAATATTTTCTTCTTCTCAAGAACCACTTGGCCAGAAAAGCTGAAACTTATATGGAAGCATCCTGGGGTAGTGTAGATTCAAATTTGTTAAAATCACACCCCTGGGAGTAGGGCAGGACCACAATAGGGAATTGATGTTTTACATTGAAATATATAGAAAAAATCTTTAAAAATCTTCTACTCAAGAACTACTGGGCCAGAAAAGCTGAAACTTATATGGAAGCATCCTGGGGTAGTGTAAATTCAAAATTGTTAAAATCACAACCCCCCGGGGTAGGGCGGAGCCACAATAGGGAATCCAAGTTTTACATTGAAATATATAGAAAAAAAATCTTTAAAAATCTTCTCAAGAACCACTGGACCAGAATAGCTGTAACTTATGTGGAAGCATCCTATGGTTGTGTAGATTCCAAATTGTTAAAATCATGATCCCCAGGGGTAGGGCGGGGCCACAATAGGGAATCAAATTTTTACATTGAAATATATACGAAAAATCCTTAAAGATCTCCTTTTCAAAAACCACTGGGCCAGATATGCTGAAATTTATGTTGAAGCATCCTGGAGTAGTGAAGATTACAAATTGTTAAAATCATGACCCCTGTGGGTAGGGTGGGGCCACAGTAGGTATTACATTGGGGAAAGTCTGGTGAAGAACAGCAGGGCCAAAGTTACTTTGGTGAGCGTTGTGGCCCATGGGCCTCTTGTTAGGTAAGTCCATTCCCAAGTAACTGCAAGACCTATCAAACCAAAATTGCATAAATGTTACATCTAGGGATGCACACTACTAGATTATTAGTTTGGGACTTTGCCTTACTTAAAGACAACATTTGTTGAGGTGAGCTCTGTAATCTCTGATTACCTATGTTCTTTTTCATGAGATGTTATTGATCTCTAATCACCATATATAATATTACACAGCAAATTTATGTTAACATGGCAAATATTTTCAAACTGGATCAAACATAACTATTGAACAATTTTAAAAATAGACCATATTTGGCATGTATAACCACTGATAACCCAGTGATAAAGCCTTCCAGATGACAAGAAGATTGGTGACTATGTGAACTGATATATTGTTTGTTTCACAGATAAGACCCACCCTACGCAATGGCATACCACCCAGCTATCCACGTATATATCCAGTCTTGGACCACTTACAAGGTACAAAATGTTAAAACATTTATCTAAAACTTAAAGTCTCTTGATTTATAAATACATCACAATGTCTAAATCTGTCTATCAGCTTTTCCCTGTTTTGTTCATATCTTGTGCACTGAGAGGCCTAGGACCATCAACCGTGGTTGATTCATCTTAGGGGAAGGTGTATCCTGACCCAAAAGTAGGTCACCATGGCCTTAATTTAGTCTTGAGAACTATATACACTAAAAGCATATTTGTGCCCCATAAAAGCCAAATTTTGAAAATCTCGAGAAATGTACACAATTGTATGTATTGTATGAAAAATCTTAATTGACAAAAATTATTAAAGTTTGGAAGTAGATAATTGGCAATTCTTGTTTCTGTGATGTCACAAACTTAGGATTTTCTGGTAGTTTCAAGAAAGAGGACAAAATTTGTTTAATTTTGAGTGTAGAAATTGCTGTGTGCGAGCTTGCCTCAGAAGAATATTCACATGTTTTATATGTATTTTAATTCTACACATTATATGAAAAGATCGAACTAGTGCAGACTTGCGCTCAATGATTTTTAATCAAAATATTGATGTAAAATACACTTTTTTCTCTCAAAATCATCAACATTTATATGAATTTACATCATCTTTTTGACGTCATATATAACATATGGCATTATGACTGATGAAAATATATCAGGCTTTCAAGTTTGCGGATATCCCCCTGCTTTAGAACATAATTGAGATTTCTCCATCAAGGGCAGACAATGGTCATTACCGATTATAGTCCGTTATGACTGTGTTATTCAAATCAAGTTTGCGTTATATCTTAACACTCTGATCGAGGACTACTCAACTTGTCCAGTTGATTTATCTGGGGGAGATGGGGGGTGGGGCAGGAGTTGAAATATACGGTAGCCCGACGCCTGGGACTAGTCATTTTAAGACTCGGGCTACCTAATTTAAATGTAATGATAGTCTGTTGGACTAGCAGAACAGAAAAAAATTCTGGATCATCAGTTTATCATAGCTTTGCTATGTAGACTGGTTTCTTTTGACTGAGAACTAATTTAATTTGTTTCTGTTACCAATTATTAAAGCATAAATTTCACACTTTAATATTTGTTATGTTTTCATTAATTTGCATGAAAATTGTTTGGCTAGTTACTTTGAGATTTGGGCTAGTAAATTTTAACTGATCAGTAGCCCCTGGGCTAGTGGGTTTTCCAGAAAAATTTCAACCTCTGGGGGGGAGTGTCAGATAACCCAAAATTACGTAATTTTATTCATGTGTAGTTATAAATGATGGTCATGGCTTATGACCATGAATATATGTGCATTATGTAGGTCCAGATGGGTGTATTATTTACCCCCAGTAGTACACTTTATTGAATATAATTTGTAGTATCCTACTAAAACTCGGTATTGACAATACCTCCAGGGTAGTTATGAAATAACTCGAGATCATGAATGTCAGTAAAGTGAACAATATGAATTACCATTATGTTACTATTCTCTTTACAATTACACTTTGTGATATTTTCAAAAGATCGATCTCTCTCCGTTTTCAACCATTTGTAACTGGAAAATAACATGTCAGGGAAACATGTATCAATTGCTCTATTCAGAAAGCATATTTGGGGGAAAAAATGGTAAATATATGCATGTGCTCAAGAAAAAGCAGAAAATTTGACCTCTTTCTAATACTTTTCTTTTCAGATGATCGTAGATCAGGTCGAACATCAAGACGAAAGGACAGTGTAAGATGTTATTGATCAAAGTCTGCTATTTATTAAGAAATAAGGTATCATTTTAAAACATCTATCGGGCTATAAATACAGGTTGCAAGGTCACGAGATCAAATTCCATAAAGCCCAAAGGGCTTTATGGTAAATTTGATCTCGTACCAACCCGTATTTATAGCCCGATAGATGTTTTAAAATGATACGTTATTACTTATATTTACATTTGTGACTTATTCATATTTTATATTTGCCTGATTATAATCTTTAACGCGTGAAACGTTCTATTTTTCAAACCCAACAGCACGTGTTTGATCCACTGATTGCGCGTTGACCCTTTATGACGTCACTGAGAAATTACGTCGAACGTTTATGACGCGAGGAACCTGTGTTTATATGGATATAGATACCTGTTGCTTTTAGTAGTGTTATATAAAAGAAAACATTTGCAAATGTAAATATTGTGCATTAATTGAAATATGTATCAAGTGTTATAAGAAAGAAAACTCAACATCTCTTTTATATTTTCTTTTTACAGTTTGCATTACAACGTCCTTTGGTGGATCAGAGACCCAGTCATATATACAATTCCTAGGTTTGCTGTTATGTAATACTGTATACATTTTGTAATATATAATTATATAGAACCCTATGATAGTCTTCAAAGGCAAGACATTTCAAGAATGATTTTAGCATATCCAATAAAACAAATACACTATGAAATACAGGTGCAGTTTCACTAACTAACTCATTCAATCTTTAGTTCTGGTTGAATTTCAGTGCATGTACCTTAAAACTCTTCTTTTTTTTTTACAGGCCCTGTAAATGGAGGAAGGGTGATTGGTGTTTTAATGATACCCTGCTATAGGCTTTATGTTTCCGAATTTCCAAGTTACGGACAGGTTCTTTGATCTTTAGTTTACAATCATAATGTGACTTGGATATTGTTGTCTTTCTTATATTTTTTCCCCAACAGTTAATAGTGATAATTAAGGTATTTTCTTTCTTTCTTTTTTTTACAAGATGAAGGGCATGTATATGTATATATATTTATATATTGCTGATTCAATGATTAAGTTCATTGTTGAGTTAAAAATACATTTATCTTTTGAATATTATTTGTTAGATTATTTTTGGAAAAGTTTACAGAGATGTTATAATTTTTTACAAACAAATTGTATTTTTGACATTTTTTTTTTGCTCCACATTTATTATTATCATTTATAATGTAATTATATACAGAGTTATGTCTACAACTATTATGACTTTATATAATTATATGAATTGTTTATATTTCTCTGTAAAAGTTATTATAAAACTTCATTTTAAAATTTATGGCTATGCTTGTCAATGGTGCCTAGATCAATCTTGAAAGAGAGGTGTCATGATTCCAAAGTAGGTCATGGTGACCTCATTTTGAAATTCTAGAGCTAAATGTTGTCAAATGTGTCCAAATCATAAAATTGCAGTGTTAAACCTAAATGCCAGTTGATGCACTTTTGAACTGCAAATCTTGTCATCTAATGGGGGGGGGCTTGCTTGCTTGTTTGTTGTTTAATGTCCCTCTCGAGAATTTTTTCACTCATATGGAGACGCCACCACTTGCCGGTGGAAGGCTGCAAATTTATACCTATACTCGGCACTCGGGGCCATTGAGCAGTGAGGGATCTTTTTCGTGCCAACACCAACTGCGACACGGACCTCGGTTTATACGGTCGGTCTCTCCAAAGGACCGGTCTCCACGTACTGCAGTGGATTTGAACCCGTGATGTAAGGATCAACTCCTTACTCCACGACTCTAGAGCAGATGCTCTAACCACTGCACCACGCAGGCGACGGGGGGGGGGGGGGGGGGGGCTAAAAGAATGTCAATGTGGCCTCAATTGAATTCTATAGCTATCCATATGCTGACTGTGGTCAGAATATAAAGAAAACCATTGATTGTCCTTTCAAAAATCATGTTTCCATAAGCATCATTAGGTGGCTAAAGGATGGATTCTATTGATTTTTAAAGTCAAAGATCAACGTTAGATGCAATGAAATGAGGACTGTTTTTTGAAGAGAACAATTTATCCATGTGAAGTGCTTTGTGCATAAGAGAAGAAAGCTATTGACTTATTGTTTTAAAAAAAGGACAATACCGAGTGTTAACATTGCTGCCAGAAAAATGCTTCATGTCAAAAGACAGAAAAAAGACTTGAATGTTAATTAAAGTGAAAGGATCAATGTAGATGGCAGTAGTAAATGTTCAATAGCAATAATAAATTTTATTGTATGATTGAATAATTCCTATCTCTCTGATTGGCTAAGATCCAACAATGTAGAAAAAATACTAGTATATTCACCTGCATGTGACCTTCCAGGTGAACATAAGGATGTATTTTTTCTACATTGGTCTAAAAATAGATCAGGAAATTCCAAATTCATACAAATATTTCACTTGCTACCGACTTCCACTCAGGTGAACATAACATTAGGGAATATATAATTTTGGGTGGGGGTAGTGGATTGAAAGGCTGCATGGTCCCTCACTAATGGACCTTAATTCGCCAGCCCTAACCCCTAACAATATTTTAATTTACGAGAATTCTCTTTTTGTGGGGGCTAATCAAAGATTTTTTTCAATTGTCAGTCCCCCTCCCCCCTTTCAAAATTGATCCTATAAAAGAGCCTGACATTATTTCTTTTTTTTTTTAATAGCAACTAAAGTAGATTTAAACAATTCCAAATTAGTACAACTGATAATGTTTATTGACCCTGCTTCTCTCGTTGCATTTGCGTAGGATTTCAGTAAATGTGAAGAAGTTAGATGGCATGAACTGCTTAATGAGTTTAATTAATATATAATATATCATTTAATCATTGAATCATTATTGCTGTTTTTTCAGTCAATACCATGATTTAGCCACCTGAGGAGTACAATATCCACCAAGTGCGAAGGGTGAGGTGAATTTTGTACTTCGAAGGTGGCTAAATCTTCGTATTGACTGAAAAACAGCAATAATTGTATAACATAATACAAATTTAATAGGCATGAACCATTATATCACAATTCATTAATCTCTAAATGAATTTACAGCCTCCAATGAAATCCGTTTCTAAACCTTTCTTGTTAGTCTTGTTTTGTTTGCTTGAATTTGTCATCCCTAGATGCATCATCAGTGCAAGTTTGGTGAAGGTGTGGCTTATGGTTACTTGGGGATGGATTGTTCAAAAAACTTGAACCTTAATTGTCTCTCATCCAGAAAATGTAGGTCAAATCCAGCATCCAAAGCAAGCTGATACATATCATTATGAACCTTGATAGTATACCCCCAAACAAAAAGGTAAATGGGAATTACCTTGTCTGTCCGTGCAATAGTGTCCAGGCTATAACTTTGTAATAGAGAATCATTCTTATTTCAGATTGTTTATTACTGAGGGTGTGTCATGACCTTGACCTGGCAAGTTTAGGGTCACTGGCAGAAAAAGTATAAAATTTTTGTCGTCTACAACTTCTTTATATAAAGGTGACATATTTCACTCAAAGATTTTTAGCTCACCTGAGCCGAAGGCTCACGTGAGCTTTTCTGATCAAAGATTGTCCGGCGTCCGTCTGTAGTCTGTAAACTTTTCGCATTTTTGACTAATTCTTCTCAAGAACCACTGGGTCAATTTCAAACAAACTTGCCACAAAGCATCCTTGGGTGAAGGGGATTAAAATTTGTTCACAGGAAGTGCCACGCCCTCTTTCAAGGGGAGATAATTAAGAATTCGTGAAAATTTGGTGGCATCTTTTAGAAATCTTCTCAAGAACCACTTGGCAAGGAAAGATGAAACTTATGCATGTTATGTGAAAGCTTCAATACATGCTGTAGATTCAAGTTTGTTCATATCATGACCCCCGGAGGTAGGGCAGGGCCGCAAGAGGGGGTCGAAGTTTACATAGGAATATATAGGAAATGTCTTTAAAAATCTTCTCTATAGCTAGAACAGCAAAGCCATGATTAGTTATATTATAAAAGAAGTATCCTCAGGTAGTGTAGATTCAAGTTTGTTCCAATCATGACCCCTGGGGATAGGGCAGGGCTAAAACAGGGGGTTGAAGCTTTACATAGGTGTAGGCCTAATGGTTAAGGGGCATTTGAGTAAAATGCATTGAAGACCTCAGATATTATAGAAGGACCTCACAACCCTTGGAATGGACTAGCCAAACTAAAGGGTATATAAGGCAAAGCTTTGGGAAAGTCAGGCATTCAGAAGCTAGGAGGAGAAGTTGGATGCTGAATCAGCAATAAAGAAGTTAAGATTTTCCATCCATAATAGCAACAGATTCAATGAAATTGAATACATAACAGATGTATAGGTGTTTTTAAATACTCAGTATATTTAGACATAATTCCCATTTATTACTATTAGCATGTAAGGGTGGGATGTGTCTTGAATTTTGGTAAGGGTTATCTCCCTCTATATTTAATTAAACAAGAGGCCCAAGGGCCACATCGCTCACCTGAGCACTGGCTAGGAAAAAGCAGAAATCAGTAGAGTCTTGAAAAGTTTTGATATAAAAGTGGTTTGAGGGGGGTGTTGATTTGAACTTGAATCTATACTTCAAAAGGATGCTTTTGAATTAATATGACAAATAATGGCTATGCTTTTCTTAAGAAGACAATTTTTATTGATATATCATGTGTATTCCTTTGTATAACTATGATCCCCTGTTATGGCCCCTCTATTCTCCTGGACGGTCATGATTTGAACAAAATTTGAATCTACATTACCCGAGGATGCTTCCATTTAAATATGACTAATTATGGCTTTGCTGTTCTTGAGAAGATTTTAAAAGGCTTTTTCCTATGTATTCCTATGTAAAACTTTGATCGCCCATTGTTGCCCCATCCTACCCCTTGGGGGTCATGATTTGAACAAACTTGAATCTTCACTACCTAAGGATGCTTCCATATAAATATGACCAATCGTGGCTTTGCTCTTCTTGAGAAGAAGATTTTTACAGATTTTCCCAATGTATTCTTGTTTAAAACTTTGATCGCCCATTGTGCCCCATCCTACCCCCCCCCC